TCGCGGGAACTTTTGTTTATTTCGACGTTTTCATTGGTTATTTGATAAAATAGAATATTATTGACACTTCTTATTTAGAAGAACTTTTCATATACTCCCTCCGTCCCATAAAACCTTTCTCCTTTCTTTTTTTATCCGTCCCACAAAACACTTCTCATTTCTATTAAAAAGTCACTTTTACCCCTTACTTTTTCATACCCTAACTATCACATCATACCTTTTTACTAATAATCTATCCATCAAATCATACTTTTACTCATCACATCAAAGGACATTTTTGAAAATTCAATACCAAAATACACTCTCCTTAAATCCCTCTTAAAAAGCAAAAGTCCCATGTTTCATGGGACGGAGGGAGTAGTTTTTTTATATGTAAATTTTATTTTTTATTTCTATACAAATATGTAAATAAAATGAATTGAAAAAACTTAATATTTTGCTTCGGGAATACAAATGTGGCAAATAATTTGAGACGGAGGGAGTATAATCTAGTTTGATTTGACTATTTTAGCAGTGTGCATAAAGAAATCTTTTCAAATAGAACTAAAACATAGAAAAAGTATTAAAATAGAAATTAAATTATGTGTTGTTATCCTTAAATAGGAGTTCATAATGTGGTAATGTGGCTTTGTACATGAACATTTCACGAGATTTTTTTAGTAATGTAATATGATCATGATTGACACTATAAATGCATTTTAACTCCTATTTCAGGAATAAAAACATAGAGTTTCTACTTTGATATAGAACAAATGTATTACTCTTACTTTAGTCGATCTTTTTCTCTTAGGCATATTCTGTTATGATCGATTTCAATTATATTTAAAACTATTTCTGATCTGTTTGATCCCCATAATAATAAGTAATACTTCCTCTGTCCCTTAAAATTCTTTCCATTTTAACTTTTAAGAAAATTAATGGAGATACATTTTTGTATTGACTTTCCAAAAATTCATTTAGCTTGATGTGATGTACTGACGGCTAAATAAACCTAGCTACTCCAGGATAATTTTTTTTGAATATATAAATAAATTTATTTCTCTATTTTAATGGTTGGTCAAAGTTTTATGTTAAGGAGTATTGATAATGAAATATGGCAAATACTTTGGTAGACTTTATGTGACTTTGATTTTGTGAACCTTATTTGAAATTTATGGACAGAGGGAGTACCTACCAGCGCAGGTCCATATGAGGACCACCAAATCTCTTAAAAATAAGGATCTCATTGTATTTTTTTTATTTTTGCACATGGGTTATCGTCTGTGTTTGTCTATGTGAAGAATGGGTGCATCTATGGTAGCACCCATGTGGTGGCACCCCAGCATGGTCCTTGCACATGAAACTAGTTTATATTTTAGCACAGAAATCTAATTATGCCTCTCTCTTGGCGTGAAAATGTAATTAAATTGAAGGTTTCTTAGTGATAACCCGTTGTTGGGTCAAGCTCCCCAATGTTTACTAGACAAGCAGAAGCAACGCCAGATTACCACGTAAGTATGTTTGCGAAAGAGAAGTTATATTTACATTTTTTTTTGTATTTATTTTATTCATAAATGACTGTTCCTTTGCTATCTTAAAAAAAAAAAAAAAGAATCCTCCTTTTGACATGGTCTAGTCCCTCCCCTCGATCGCCGATTGATAGTATAAGTTTTTCTGCCAATCGACGGTCCAGAAAATGCAGGGAGGTCTCTGAATGGAGGGAGAGCAGCAGATAGAATTAAGAGTATGTAGAATCCATCATTTTATGAACGAAATATCACAAGTGCCAGACGTCTTATGATGTGATAATATCATGCCACGTCTTAACGTCGATATGTGGAAAAAATATAGTATGTTACCATACGTTCAAAATTTGACTCCAAAGTTAAAGTCAACTTGTGGGGTGCAATTGATGAGGGTAGGGGGTGTGTTCGGGTCGGAGCGGAGTGGGGGGTTTACCGGGGGGTTAGGGGGGTAGGAACCGTCAATTTTACGAACGAGGCACCGGAGCACTCTCGGGTCATCCCATGACATTGTCGGGCAATGTCATGGGAACTTTGGTGCCAAAACAAATAAAAAAAGCGAATTTCCCAGTGTCGTATTTAAACTTTTTTATTCCCTAAATAAAACTTAATAATGACTAGTGAGAAAAATAATGTCCAAGTGATGTTGAACATTTAGTTGAATAATGACTAATAGATAATGACCAATGGTCCTACATTAGGAAATAAAAATATATGTTTCTATTTTGAGAAAGTCATTATGTTTTAGTTCTATTTGGGTAATTACCCATAAAAATGTTAAGAGTCTTATTTAAAAAAAAATCTATTATCTTTTAGTCATATTATTAACACATTTCATTTCATATTATAAAAATTGGGATAGGACCAGTGCTATATATTCTAACATTTTGCAATGGAAAGTTCTAAAATGTCCAGCATTTGAGAAGAATAACCTATTACATAATTCAAGTAGAATAAAAATAATTACAAACAATTTGAATAGTCATTTAAATAATCAGTCATTATCTAATACTTGTATCTAATGAAGACAAATATGGCACATCATATAGAATTATGTATCATAAATGAAATAAAATATATTTGGTCCTATTCAAAAAAAATATACTACCTTATAATCCTATATGGAGCAAATTTTACATAAAAATTTTTATTTGTATAAAAAAAACTAATGTTTCAATGTACATATAAATAAATATGTGTGTGTGTGTCTAACAATATAACACTCTTAGCTTACTCATTAATATGCAAATATGTATAGGGATTTTGCATTTTCGCCGCCGTCCAGTGTGGGTTCCGATTCAAGTTCGACTCCTCCCATAAGGTAAATTTGTGGTGCCATGCCTCCCTCTAATATGGCTTTTTTTTCTACGATTATTTTCTCAGGAAAATAATGGAAATAAGACTAAAACACACCAAGCAGAATTGAGTAAATATTTATAGTTTTCAAAAAAAAAGTGGATCGTTATATTTTTATCTCAAAAAATTGTGAAAAAATATTGTGAACAAACCAATATGTGTAATAGTCATATTTTGGGAATAAAAACATACTCGCTCGTAGTCCCCTTTCGGTTACAATTTAATTTTTTCTCTCTCTTCCCTAAAACTTTTTATTTCTTATGGATATACTAATTTGTAAATAAAATGATTTCAAAAATCGTGAATTTTACCTCGTAATTCTCATTTTGTAATCAAAATAGGGACAAAGAGAGTAGCTACGAATCATATTTTACGGATAAGACTTATGTTTTAATCCTAACAAGAAAAAAATATCGTTATTTTCTCTTAGAACAACTCTTTTGCTTTTATTATTCCACCACGGTTTTTTGACACCAAGGTGTGGTGTTAAATTATAATACCACGTCAATTTGAGGTCAATATTATTCTCTGTACGAAAATTGACGATTTTCTACCCCTAACTCTCTGGTAATTAAATCCTCCCACATTACTTGGCCTGAATCGCCCCCACCTCATTCAATTGCATCCCCTAAACTTAGTTGATCTAAGATTTAATTCTTTTTGCCTCGAAGTCAATATAACTATATTTGGGGATACAATTGAGGGAGTGGTTCAGATCGGACTTGAATGAGGACTTTACCCAAGGATTAAGGGTATTAAGCATTAATTTTTTAAATGAAACACCATAGAGACTTAAATTCGACCACTGACATCACCCAAGCTTGGGATGATTTTATCCAAGGCCTTATTACTTATTATTCATGCTAAATGTATGCTCTTCTCTCCAATTTTGTGAATATTTAGCATTGGGTGGATGTTCGTGGTGACAATTGCAATGTGTCTTGTGTGGTTGTCCTCGATCCAACAAACAAGCAATTGATGATGAGGCTCCCTTTGAGGATAGCGTTAGAGCATATTGTTTAAGAAAATCTGCACTGTAAAATTATCTATAATTATAATTTTGGAGTTAATCACAAAGACAGTAAAGATACATCGTTTGGATATTTGATGTGACAAATATCTTTTATTTACTTTTTTTTTTAAAGAATTTTTATGGTTTGGTTGTGTTGTGGTATTTGGTTATTTTTCAGTTTTCACCATATTACTCCTGCTATATGCATATGACTGTTGGGTTCCTTAGTTCGAGTTCTAAAAAAATGTGTTGGAAAGCATGTGACTTTTCTCCCGTATATTTCTTCTATTTGTGTGGTGACGTTGTTTGGCATATCAACAAATTATACACCAAAAATCAAGTGACACTGAATCTTGATGTCATGGGATGACCTGGGGACACTCCGGTGCCCCGTTTATAAAATTGGCGATTCCTTCCTCCGATAAACCCCCATCCGGCCCCTATCCAAACACACCCCCCACCCCCTTCAATTCTACCCCACAAATTAATTTTGACTTTGGAGTCAAATTTTGACTCCCAAGTCAAAATCAACTTGTGGGGTGGAATTGAAGAGGTGGAAGGTGTGTTCGGGTCGGGACCGGGTGGGGATTTACCATGGGGTTATAAGGATAAGAACCGTCAATTTTACGAACAGGGCACCGAAGCGCCCCGGGTCATCCCATGACATCAAGGTTCAATGTCACTTGAACCTTGGTGCAAATTATAATATGGCATCCATTCATACGATCTCAACCCATTAAACGTGTAAAGTATTACAGTCACTAGTGAACGGACATGCAATCTTTTCAAATGAAAATCACCATCATGCCATTGGGATATGCTAGGGGTACACCAAAGGTGTATCCCAAATATACACCACCCCACTTCTTTACCATTTATCTTATTTTGTTTTTATTTTTACTTTTTTTTGAATTTTTCTTGCCTTTTTTGTGTGGTGATGGAGGGGTGGGGGATGTTTGGGGTACACTTGTGGTGTACCCCTAGCATTTTCCCATGCCATTAGATCAAAACATCTTTGACAAAGATAACAAATTCTAATCATAAAATCATTATTTTAGTATATCTTTTACTCCTTAAGAATCAACAGTAAATACTCACTCGATCTAAAAAATAACTTTCTTAGACGTCCTAAAAAGATCCCCCTTTTCTTTTTATGAAAATATTTATCTCTTCTACATCACTTGCTATCACACAATTTCAGGGACAACGAAAGTCAAGCAAAATGAAATGATATCAGTTTCTTTCAAAAAAGAAAAAACCCCATTAATAGTATGTGAACAATTCCTTAGATCAGACACTTATGCAAGGTTATATGAAGTGGCAAAATCATAGCTGCCCCCTCCCACCTAAATTCATATACTCACAGTCAAACATATAAGGAAAATGAAGATATATGTACACACAATCCACGGGCAACAAATACTCATCATCCCCCTCCCATATGGTCTCTCTCTCAGTTTCTTCTCTTCTTCTTTTTCTCCTCTTCCTTCTCGGATGCGTTCTTCAACTGCAATTAATAAAGTTCATAAGATTGATTTGGGTATAGCACCGAGAACTTTTCACATTGCGATGGTCGTCTTATATATGAATATGAAGATTATAATTTAGATAGATAAAAGCCTGCACATGAATCTTTTTTTATCCTCTTTGCAACAATGTTATGACAGTATGTTTTTTAGTAACAAGATATTTGGGCATCTCTTGCTTACCATGATGATAAGAATCCGGACAAAAACAGCCACAAAGTCTGTGAATAGAGTGAGTGCGTGTTTCACGTAGTCCAGATCTCCATAGTGTGCCTTCTCAATTATTGTCTGGGTGTCAACTACAATGTAGCCAACGAACACCAAAAGCCCAAAATACAACTGCAAAACGATGACATTGAGCACAAGTCAACAGCAGGAAGGGGGGACACTCCACGAATCTCGAGAAATTAAAACTCGTTTTAGTTGTCCAATGACTGGTGAGAGAAGGGCGGAGAGAAAAAATGATACCTCGAACTTGAAAAATTCCATAGAGCCACCAAAGACAGAGGACGCGAACTGCAACCAGAAAAGGAGGGAGAGACCGGACGAAAGCAAGCCCCCGAGATACAAGTACTCTCTGCGGCTTGCCACCATGGCAGCTGCTGAGAAACAGCCGAATGCCAAAGCACAACCGACAAATGCACTTACAAGGATGCTGAAACGAGAAAATATTGTCAGCAAAGAAAACTGCACAATATTGAGTCATGATATCTTAGGTTAAACAACTCTCTCTATCATCAAGATCATTTCTCTCTCATCATTAATAGACAAGAATGGAATTTGAAGCTCGGGCTTTACATTAATTACTGATAGCTGGTAACAATCAAGCTACATTGAGGGAATTAACGTTTAGATATTTTCCATGGAGTGGAACAAAAATAGATAACGTTTTACTTATAAATTTTAGTTTCCATGTGAATCTTTCTTCCCCTTGTTTAGAACTCGGAATGACGCAACACTCAAGATATACACATCAAGGAATTTGGTTTCTCTACAAATTAGACATTGGGTTGGCAAGAAAATAGAATTCGTTTCTCTCTTTATATGTAGTAGAACAGTTCAAAACAAAAATCACTACCATTATTAATTTATGAAAACACAAAACAAATGGTGACTTATAATGTTTAACACATTATATACAAACATGTGTCATTTGTTTATATCCTTAGAGTCTTAAGGATAAAAGGAATGGGTGTAGGTGATCCAAAGCTTTTAATATGAAGTGTATACAGGGGGCAGGGGGCGGCTAAGTTTCATATACTGATGCATAAATATGCGGAGTTAGAAAACGAATAGCAGATTATTAAACCGCAAACCAATAAAAAGAACATCAAACCACCTGGGATCGAAGTCAATGGCAACCTCAATCAGAGGACCAATGGAGGCTCCTTCAAAAAGTGCTGCTGCCATTAGAAGTGCAACCCTTTTTTGCTGCTTATAAGAAGAGATGACACAAATGGTTACCATTCAATTCATCAAGGTAAAAGGAAAAAGCCGAACAAGGCATAACTGCTCCAAGAGTTACAGGAACAAACTCAAGTACCTCTTCATAAGGAGGACAAGAGAGCATCCAAACCATGCTTCCAATGCATCCTAAGGTAGTTAGGATACCACCTACATTCCAAAGTATGTGAAGATAAGCGCCGGCTGCAGATGCAACCAAAGCACATAATAGTGAAAGATACACCTGTCGTAATGAAAGAAAGCTCATCAGAAATCTCACTACATTTCATTCACATATTGAACCATTGCAAGGAGAAATTAAGCTATCCTCTTCACAACAAGTTTTATTCAAGGATTTCAGATCCTATCATCCCATCCTAATACGCAATATATACCGTACAACCAATTATACGGTATTTCCCGTACATCCACGGCAAACGCTTATTTACTAGTAAGTGAATGCTCATTTTCGAGCAAGTGAATACTCATTGTCGAGTAACTAAATACCCATTTCTCTAAAATTCAGTTATGCTCGAAATTGAGCATTCAATTACTCAAAAATGAATATTCTCTCATTCAAAAATAAGTACTTAGTTACTCGACATTTGACAATGAGTATTGATGCGGATGTACGGAAAATACCGTACATCCGGATATATGATATAGGTACTCATCCTAAAGCCACACCAAATTTCTACTAGAACACATTAATCACATATAGGCTCATACAGGTATTTTGAACATGAGTGAAATGCCTTAAATCATTACGTTTCACAATTTTAATTTCCTCAATCAGGAAATCAAATTAAATTTGATACCATAAGATAAAAGGTTCTGTAAGATATCAATAATCACAAGTGAAACCTCTATCAGCCAATGAAATTGCTCTGGTGGTTGTCTAAACCTATCGTTTACAATTAATTGTCTGTTTCTCAGAATTATGATATCTCATGATAAATACACGCAGAGAGGGATCGATTGAAAAATCACTTTTCAGATTAAAAACATTACGAACATTACTGAACAATAGAATCAAGTCATTCAACACGAAGAAATGACCTACGAGCGATTCCAAGGAGTTACAAACCTAACACGCATCAAATATCAGATTATTATTCTATGCATCTGAAACAAGGAGGAATAAGAAGAACAAGAGATCAAACGGACCTGCTTGAGGTGATTCTGAACGACCGGGGAGATCTGGCGGAAGTTCTTGAGAGAATCGTAGTTCCACCGATTGCGAGACTCGGGATTGACATAAGATGCGAAGCTCTCCATTGTTATCGTTCTCAGAGAAAAACCAGTGAAAGAGTATTCGAGCAGGACAGAGATGGCGTTAATTTCAATCGATAAACTTTTTCGGTTTCAGAAGGTTGAAGAAGATGACCCGTTTATATCTTATATAGCGATAGCTTTTCCGGGTTTCCGGACCTTCCTGGAAATTACGAGAAGGTCGAATGCAGTTGGACAGATATATCCCTGATTGGAACGCTGGATGCGGAAATGCTATGGGATTTATGGTCTCGATGTAGGGGCAATTCGGGGATTGAGAAAATTCAACGCGAAAGTACTTCTTATGCAAGCAACCGACGCATGACTAACCAATGAACGCGTGACATGTCATCCCCAAGATGGAATTATCCAATGCTCCTCTCTTTTTGTGAATTTTTTTAATACTCCCCCGTCCAAAAGTCAAAAGTGGACAAAGACACTGGGACGGAGATAGTAATGTATTTTCTCACATTAGACTTCAACAAATAATAAGTATGTATAGTCCTTTGTACATCACCTCTATTCCATCGTTTTCTACCATTCCCAAACAATTTATAAGTGACGCCATGAGTGATCAAGAAATTGAATTGTTCATAGGTAAAATAGGGGTATGAATGATGCCAATCTTAAAACTCTTGAAGATATTTTTGAGGACGTTGAAGATTCGTCAATGAGTACAGATGGTACAAATGTAAGCTCGCACAACGAATTTGTGATGGACCAACGCGTTCCATGTGACTACGATGAAGACAACGATACCGAGTTCAACGTCCTTGAATGGTAGAAGAGTAATGAACACGTGTTTTTGTCACTCAGAATGTTGGTCAAACAAGTGTTATCTATGCCGATTTTAACTATAGCTGTGGAACACGAGTTCAGTTCTAGCAACAACATTCTAATTGAGTACCGCAGTTATCTTCTCGTTGAATCGCTTGAGACACTTTTTTGCAGCCGAGATTGGCTCTTGGCAAGGCGTCAAACACAAGAGGCAGGCTAAGACATTGATACACAAAATTACATGGATGCAACCACGGATGGAAGTGATTGTTCCGAGAAATAAATTTGTATCTTTTTTAAATTGTAATTAGTTTTTTTGGGAGCGATTTATAAACTCTTTCGAGAGTTTTTTTTATGGTTCTTTACCTCGTCGCTTTTTTGAACCGACACAATATTAAATGTAGTTATAAACTTGTAATATTCAACTTTCTTCATTTAAATAACAACTATATTATTAGAATTTATAAAAAGTTATAATTTTTTTTACATTACATATAATATTATATTATTCATATATTTGATTTAGAAAAAAATTAAAATAAAAATAACCGAGAACCCGCCTAGAACCGGATCCGGAATCGCTAGTTCTGGAATTGGCTACGTCCGTGCCGGATACGGGTCCACCAGGCGGCGCTGTCGAAACCGCATGTTTCAAAACCGGAACCGTACCGAAACTGCACCGTGTCCACCCCTAAGTATGATTATTGAATTTTACAAATTGGATTGTGGCGGGACATGAAAAGGGTTTAGGGAAATTGAGTTGTTATTTGGGTGGATTGGATTGTTTTCTTTTTGGGATGAGTGCTTCTATGGACACTTTGGATGATGCATACCGGGCTGGTTTATTTAAAAGGGGAATAAAAGAATATTCCCTCAAAGTTTCTCTAGCCTCTCTGATAAAAGGAGGGTACCTTCACAAGTTAGGAGGGACTCAATCACACTCCTTCCCTGCCAATTACTTTTTCTCTCTATAGTATTCTTGTATTTTAGTTCTTCCATAAGCTTTAAGCTTCTATAAATGGCTTCCGAGCCCAAGTCGTGTACCATGTACAACCCTCGATATTAATAATAACCCCCCATTGGCAAGGTACTGCTAAAAAAGGCCCGTGATTTTCTCCCAATTGGGTTTCCACGTCAAAATCTCCGTATTTGTATTTTGGTGTATTTTGTTAGACTAGTTTATCGTTCTTGTCCCGTTAAGAACGATATTCGAGTCGAGATAATTTACAACATCAGTTACATATTCCTTTTTGTTATTTCTCTTTGTTTTGATATGCACTAACACGATATAATGTAAGGCACTTGGATTTTTAACCGACAATAAAAAGTTAAGTGGAAGTTTATTACTCCCTACGTCCCGTTTTAAATCGTCCGTTTGGACTTTTGGGAATATTTAAGGAAAATTTAAAATAGATTTGATTTTCCGAAATTGTCAATACTTTTTAGGAGAGATGATGATGAATGAGAATATAATGTGGAGAAGATTGACTTATTTTAGAGGTAGTTTAGATATTTTATTTTTAAAAGTTTACGAAAACAACTAACATGCAACTTATTTTGGGACGGAGAAAAAAGGCAAACATGCAATTTAAAATGGGACAGAAGTAGTAACAAAAAAAGGAAAGTATCATTTTTGAAGAAATATAATAGTTAAGTGAAAGGAAAAGATGTGGCCTCTCTATTTAGAATTGAAATTAAGTTTTAAAGTTTATAATTTGACCCCATATTTCCAAATTCCTAAAATTGAATCCTTTTTGTACTTGACCTTGGATTAAACCATGACCCAAATCCATCCAAATTTGGACAAGGTTCCCATGACATTGCCCGGCAATGTCATGGGATGATCCGGGGCGCTCCGGTGCCCCGTTCGTAAAATTGACGGTTTCTATCTCTCCTAACCCCTCTCGGTAAATCTCCCCACCCCGCCCCGACCCGAACACCCCCCCCCCCTTCAATTGAACCTCACAAGTTGATTTTGACTTTGGAGTCAAAATTTGACTCCAAAGTCAAAATCAACTTACGGGGTGCATTTGAATGGGGTGGGGGGTGTGTTCGGGTCGGGGCGGGTGAAGGGTTTACCGGGAGGTTAGAGGGTAGGCTAGGAACCGTCAATTTTACGAACGGGGCACCAGAGCACCCCTGGGTCATCCCATGACATTGCCGGGAAATGTCATGGGAACCTTGGTATCCAAATTTATCAATCTTTACTTTATAATCTAGTTTAATAACTTTGTTAAAGATAATGAAATGTGTCCAAATAGTAGAATTGTCACATTATAAAACTTATTGGTAATATACAGAGCATTGAACTAGAATTGAGTTCGAAAAGGTCAACTGGTATAACTACGAGGTTTTGAACTGAATTGGATTGATAAAATATTATAACCATCATTAAGTTAATATTTAAAAATCCAAATTTTTTATTACAATTTAATCAAATACAAGAAATACGAATTTAAGAGGCTCAGAAATAATTTTTTAAAAGGGAAATAAAAAAGATGAGACCGCCATTGCTGCAATCACGATGTCAAATTCTAGGTAGCCATGCCAAGATACGAATCATTTCATTAAATTTTTATATTCTACAATACTTGGAAGACAGAGTGTTTTTTGGATTCTAACTTTTAGAGTTTTTTGTTTGGGGGGGGAATATTTTTAGAGAACCTAAATCTAGTTTCCTACATTTGGTTACATATGAGAAGGTGGCGTAAAAATTGAGAGACCTCGTACCAAATCTCCATTCTTTATTTTATACTTTCTCTATCTAAAAATTAACTTCTTATTTGATTTTTCTCGGTTCCCATGCAATTCTTTGATCATTAAAATCTCTATTCATTTATAAATATATATTATAAAATAAAATATTTCAAAGAGACGCCCGCGGAAGAACGGATGGACCATTCCATGAGGAACGGTCAGGCAGAGGAAAGTGGCGAAGCTGACAGGCTACAGACGGTCGACCTGATGGACCTTTCTGATGTCCATGGTCGACCGTCCAAGAGGCAGAAAGATGGGTTCCATGGGGATGATCAAACGGTCGACCTGGTGGACCATCCTGATATCCACGGTTGACCGTCTGAGAGGCAGAAGGACGGTTCTTTGGGAGATGATCAAACGGTCGACCGTGATATGGAAGACGGTCGAACGTCAACGAGGCAGAAAGTCAGTGATCCGGAACAGATTCAGACGGTCGACCCCGTGGACCGTTCCACGGATGGCAGTCGACCGTCCTCTTCCCAGCAGGCGGTGGAGAACTTGGGACGTGGTCAGCGTGAGAAACGTCCAAATGTGCGCCTGGCCGATTATGTTACCCATGTAGCTAGTTCATATGTTGGTGAAAAATGCAAATATTCTCTTTCCTCGTATGTCACTCACGAGAAGTTCTCTGACAGACACAAGTGTTTTCTCAGCGCACTTGGTGAAGTGGAGCCCGCGAGTTTCAAGAAGGCATTCCAGGATGAACGATGAAGGAAGGCTATGCGAAAGGAGATTGATGCACTGGAGGCTAATGGGACGTGGTCTCTTATCTCTCCTCCGCGTCATAAAAAGCCTCTTGGTTGCAAATGGGTGTATAAAATCAAACGCAAGTCTAATGGAAAGTGGAGAGATATAAGGCCCGACTTGTTATACTTGGCAATCATCATGTTGAAAAACTTGACTACAAAGAAATGTTTGCTCTTGTAGTCAAGTTGACCACTGTGAGAACACTTTTAGCAGTTGCAGGCTTGCAGCAGTTAAGGGGTGGGAATTGCATCAGATGGATGTTCACAATGCATTCCTACATATAGATTTTCAAGATGAGGTGTATATGAGATTGCAACCTGGTTACTCGAATTCATCTAATGTGGTGTGCAAACTCAAGAAGTCTCTGTATGGCTTAAAGCAAGCTCCAAGGTGTTGGTTTGCCAAGTTGTCTGGAGCCTTGAAACGATAAGGGTTTGTCTAATTTGTTGCTGATTACTCCCTATTTTCTTTTGTTGGAAAGAAGGGAGTAATAAATGTTTTGGTTTATGTTGATGATTTGATTATTGTTGGAGATAATACAGAGATAGTGAGCAAGTTCAAAGCCTATATGGGAGATTGTTTTCATATGAAGGATTTGGAAACACTGAAGTACTTTCTTGGCATTGAAGTGGCGAGGAGCACGTCTGGGATATTTCTCTACCAACGAAAGTACGCTTTGGATATTATTACTAAGGCAGGATTGTTAGGTGCCAGGTCGTTGGGTGCACCCATGGAGCCGAATCATCACTTGGCTCGTTCCCAAGCTCCTGTTCTGACGGATCCAGAACCATATCGTCGTCTGGTAGGGCGATTAGTCTAT